AATTAGAAATATATGATATAAAGGATACCATAGCATTTACCTGGGAGAACTGGTGGCCTCGTGGTAAGGAATTCTGAGGCCAACCCCAGTACATATTTCATTAAAGACATAATAGAGCACTAAATACTAAATAATACTAAATACGAAAAAAAAAAACCCCACCAGTATGTTATGTTCACCATTTGTTTATTAACTAAAGGGGAAAGATCAGTCAGTTAAAAGTAAATGTATTGGAGCTTCTTTATGATTTCGAGTATTTTTAACACTTCAATGGCTTTTTGATCTCCCATTGTTTCAATGATGTCATGAATATTTCACATACATTCATTCTTGTTATATATTCATGTACTGGAAGTCTGCAATTTATAAAAGTGTTGTCTTGAAATTCATTTTAAGTCAGGCAAAATAAAAATTCATTTTAAGTTCATTTAAAGTCAGAGATGTCTTTCCCACAGAAGCAGTGCATGGTAATTAGATTTCCCAGTCAATCCTCAGAAAATCACTATAAATGTGCAATAGAAAGTTAAACTACCCTGCATTAATATACAGATGATTTAAATGAAAACTGATAGTTACCAAGAGGTTCCCAAAGTTGGTAAAAGAAATACAGAATAATTTCTTTCTCATTTCCAATGTGCTGGGCATTATGCAAGATGCTTTACAGCTTTGACTCATTTTAATCCACATTATCCAGTACATAGATGAAAGTAACTTGGCTTTTCTACCATGATGGGACCTTCACTGCCACCCTCCCTTGTAAGTTAGCCCAACTGGTGTTCGTCTCCGTATTTCTTAGTGCTTCGGGAGTCTGCAGGTGTGCAGATGTTCAGAGCTAACTGGACATTTTATTAAGCTATCAGCCTTGTTGACTGAAGCCTCTCAGATGCTTTGTCAAGCCAGATACAAGTACACCTCTGATCCAAGTACAGTCTTTACACAACCCAGAAAATTTCTCAAATATAACCTACCTTGAGCACCTACTGAACACCAACTATGTATTTCCTTTTTTTTTTCCCAGTTCTATGTCTGTCAGCAAAAGATAGACTGTTTTTAATGGAATTTATTTTCCTTATTTTAATATTCTCAGTTATTCTTTGAATATTATTCTGTTTACCTCCAGGAAATCTGCAAACGAAGCACTCATGTTAATTCCCATATATCCCTTTGCCGCTGGGGAAAGATACTTTTGGAAGGAAAGGAAAACATCACCTTAAACCTGCAGCTTTGCAAAACCAGTAGGGTTTTTATTAGTCACATGATGTTTAATTAGGCTGTAGGCAATTCTTCCTCTGTTTTGATGAGGAATTGGCAATTTTTATGCTGCACCTTTGAAGCAACATGCATGAAGGAAGTCTTTCTGAGAAGCTGACTCTTATTCTCTTACAGATATAGATGAGTGCAGTTCCTTTTTTGGTCAGGTATGCAGAAATGGAAGGTGCTTCAATGAAATTGGATCTTTCAAGTGCTTATGTAATGAAGGTTATGAACTTACTCCGGATGGCAAAAACTGTATAGGTAAGGACCTAAATAAGAAACAGTAGTGACTGGTGGGATCTATATATGTGAATGTTTGGCACTGTTGTTGTTGTTAGGTGCTGTCCAGCTGACTCAGAACAGCTCTACCCTGTGCTATACCCAAGCCCACTGTTGCGGTCACTTTTTCAGTCCTTGACATTAAGGGTCTTCCTATCTTTCTCTGACCTTCTACTTTTCCAAGCATGACGTTTGGCATGGGGAGGTTTTTAGTGTTTAGTTTGGTTTTGTAAAATAACAATGTGACTCTTCCCATTAGGGACTCATTTTGTTTGGTCATCAGGCCACATGGCCAAAGATAAGATCTGAGGGTAAATTTTTAAGCCAACCCTTAGAAGGATTCCAAGTTATGTCTGCTGAGGACAGAGCTTGAATCTATTCAGATCTTAAACAAAACTAGGCAAAAGACACAGATCAAGATCTTGCCAAGTGAAAAATATCTAAGACATCAGAGCATATCGGTGAATATTTGTCTATAATCTTGCAGCATTCCACAGACTTGAGTTGAATTTATTTTCCTAACATTTGGCAGAAATATAAAGCTATGCAAGTTTTCTCAAATCTGAATCATTTCTTTCCTTCTCTTTTCTCTTTACAGATACTAATGAATGTATTGCCCTTCCTGGCTCTTGTTCTCCTGGTACCTGTCAAAATTTGGAAGGATCCTTCAGATGCATCTGTCCGCCAGGGTATGAAGTCAAAAGCGAGAACTGCATTGGTAAGCTAACATTTATTATTAGATCCATGAGCTGTTCTGGATAATAAGACTTGGTCCAGACTCCATGGAAATCAGCTAAATCCCAAATCCTGTAAGCACGCTAACCTAAGGAATTTTGCCGACAACAGCCTAAGTCAGTTTTATTGAGTCATCAGTAATAATTTGAAGGTGGGGTGTTGGGAATAAAAAACTTAAAGATGTGGGATTTTTTTTCATTAACAAAAACCCATATGCTACTCAAAGAATTTTAAGGGTGCTCTAATCTTTTTTCCAAATGTCAACAGAGACTTTCTACTGAATTTAAAGAGTGTCTACAGAAATTGTAATCTTTGGCAACTCCTTTTAAAACAGCCATTAAAGGGGTCTAGAGTCCCAGAAATGTGAAGCTGAGAGTCTTGACAGCGCTATGGAGATTTCTCTTTTCCTCTTTATGAAGATCTCCTGTCAAAACAAAAAAAAAAATATTAATCCATTTGTCATAATAGATCTTTTGCTGTTGAAATGCTTCCAGCCCACAAGAACATTGAAACCACATCAAAAGTGGGTCCCAGAATTGCCTGGTAGACATGATGAAGACACTCCTTCTTATAGTTAACATTATTTCAGCTCTCTACATATTCCTTTTCACAGCCTTGTTGAAATTCAGAAGTACACCACCATCTTAGTGTGGATTTCTCATGTGAACGGATGGCTGAGGATTTTGCCTTTGAGTTCTATAGTGTTTTCCTTTTAATAATGCTATCCCCCTTGGCTAGATTCCCCCTACATATATAGTTCTACTGTTCATCTTCAGGGGAGCTGGAGTTACATAGGGCTGAGGAAAATGGTTGATGTTTTAAAATATTGTTCTTTTTTAGATGGTATAAATCATCGCAGCCTTGTAGACTAGATAGGACTATCCCATAGGTTTCCCAAGGCTGTAAATATTTATCGAAACAGATTACCGTCTTTCTCTCAAGTAGTGGCTGATGGATTTAAACCACCGACCTTTTAGTTGGCATCCAAGCAGTTAATCACTGATTTTTTTTTCATATATTGAGTTATTGGTCTGTGCAATTAAATTAAATGGTCCTGCCATTCTGCAGATATAAATGAATGTGATGAAGATCCCAACATCTGTCTCTTTGGTTCCTGCACCAATACTCCTGGCGGCTTCCAGTGCATCTGCCCCCCTGGCTTTGTGCTGTCTGATAATGGAAGAAGATGTTTTGGTAAGCTTTACGTTGCCAGTCCCATCACAGTTGACCCTTTAAACTTAGAGCTTGACAGTAAATCGTCATGTTAGTGGTTGTTGCTAAGTACAGACTCAAAACTCATTTCTGTCAAGTTGGAGCCAGCACACAGCTGAACCTTCTGTGGGCTTTCAAAGGCTGTAAAGCACGGGGAAGAAATTGCCCTTTTTTCTCCTTTGGAGCCTCTGGTGGATTTGAACTGGTACCTTTGGATTGGATTTTCCCTACCCACTAGCTAAGTACAAGTGTGTGGTAAATAAATCATCTGTAAATTTAAAATTCAAGTCTCAAATATATATGCGTCTAACATTTTTTAAATTTTTTTTATTTTTATTATACTAGTTTATTTACAAAATTCGAATACACTGTTTTCCAAAACGGATTCAATTTCCTTCACCACCCCATCCATCAAATTGTACAACCCCATGATTAACAAACCCCCCTTTCCTCCTCCTGCACATCCTTATCCCTCTGCTTCTAACATTTTTAAGCTCTGGTTTTTATCTTTTTTTTTTTTTTTTTTCATTTATATTGAGAGAAAAATGTTACCCTGACTCACTGTTTTAATTTTTATTTTTTTGTTGTTATTACCTTTATTTCATACCTTGGTATATGAGCTGCTTTTGGAAATCACTGAGAGTTGTGTTTTAAGCTGTAACATAGCAATGGAGAGAACATTATATCTGGAAATCATTTTTATTTCAAGCCTCACTTCCAAGTGCATTTTAAAAATTATTTTTTTAAATCTTTAAATAGGCAAAGTTTTATAAGCAAGTTGATTGAAACTGGAAATGAGATCAGCAGTGGAGGATTTCCAGAACTATCTTTTCACTGCCAGTTGAAGCTCAATGCTGGGTTCTGGCCATGAGGGCATTCCTCTTGGGAGCATGGAGTTATATACTAGTTATTCTACTCTGCATTGTTTGCTTTCTTAATCAGATACTCGCCAGAGCTTCTGCTTTACAAATTTTGAAAACGGAAAGTGTTCGGTGCCCAAAGCCTTTAACACCACAAAAGCAAAATGCTGCTGCAGTAAGATGCCAGGCGAGGGCTGGGGGGACCCCTGTGAGCTGTGTCCCAAAGACGACGAAGGTAAGATCAGTGACAGGAAGCACCCCTTTGCCTGAGTTTTTGAATGTTTACCCAAGGTCAGTTTGACCATGTAATTTATAAATATTTTGAGGGCGAATTAATCCCCTCAGGTACAAGTTTTGATGGTTCGGTAAGCAGCCTGCTTTGAGGAACTTTTTCCTACTTTTATGTACAACATGTGTAAGTGTAGGTAGAGTTACCCTGTAATTTCAAGGTTTCTTTTTTTCCAAGGTTGATATTACTTGATTTCAAAAGAATGAATTTGAAAGGAGCAGGTCAAGAGATGTGAGGAGGGGTTCCTGGAACTGGGGAAAAAGGAAACTCTCGGTGGCGGGAAGCAGTGGTGGGACATCGGCTGAAAAGAGAGAAATTTGCATCTTCTGCTCAGTTTTACAATGGCATCTGTTTCAGCATAAATAGACTATAAGAAGGCGGAGTAGCAACGCAAACCAGTTAGTTCGAGTTAGTTCCGAGTCTCTCTCTGGTCAGGCTTGGATTTCAGCCTCAGTAGCAGCAGTGATCACTGTTGACACAGTGCCAAGGGCATTGGCCAGGATGCCGAATATCAAAATCTTCAGTGGCAGCTCCCACCAGGACTTAACCCAGAAAATCGCGGACCGCCTGGGCTTGGAGCTTGGCAAGGTGGTGACTAAGAAATTCAGCAATAAGGAGACCTGCGTGGAAATTGGCGAGAGTGTGCGTGGAGAAGATGTCTACATTGTTCAGAGTGGCTGTGGAGAAATTAACGACAATCTAATGGAGCTTTTGATCATGATCAATGCCTGCAAGATTGCTTCAGCCAGCCGGGTCACTGCAGTTATCCCATGTTTCCCTTATGCCCGGCAAGATAAGAAAGATAAAAGCCGGGCCCCAATCTCAGCCAAACTTGTAGCAAATATGCTGTCTGTAGCAGGTGCAGATCACATCATCACCATGGATCTACATGCTTCTCAGATTCAGGGCTTTTTTGATATTCCAGTTGATAATTTATATACTGAGCCAGCTGTCCTAAAGTGGATAAAAGAGAAGATCTCTGAGTGGAAGAACTGCACTATTGTCTCACCCGATGCTGGTGGAGCCAAGAGAGTGACCTCCATCGCAGACCGGTTGAACGTGGACTTTGCCTTGATTCACAAAGAACGGAAGAAAGCCAATGAAG